TAAACAATTTTTGCTCCGCATCCAGGAACACCTTCCCAACAAATCGTTTTTGTCTTTGGCTAGAGAGGTATAAATAAAACAGATTTTGGGAAGCATAAATATTTTTTGCTGCGAATCCAGGAACAACTTCTTAACAGATCATTTTGTCATCAGATCGTTTCATTGGGTAAGAAAAACATTTATCAATATCAGTATCAGTTTCGCGCTACTAAGGATTTATCAATATCAGTATCAGTATCAGTTTTATCAATATTAGTATCAATATCATTTTCAAGACATGGTTTTCGTTACGTTTCGCGATAGCAAAAAGATGAACATCTTGCATGCAGGAATCAACCAGAACCGGATGAGGTCAACAGCACCGACCGGATGAGGTCAACAGCACCGAAACATCGATAACACAGAGCATCGTTGGAAAGGGAATGGTTTCTTTCATTCCATCCTTCATCTCACAAAACCAAAAAGCAGAACTTTCAAAAAGCAAAACACAAAATAAGACATTCCAATATGAACTTCTCCAAAATTGCTGTCACCGCCCTCAGCTTCAACTATTCACCTTGGTTTGTCCAAGGAGAAGAAATAAAGCATAAGGTAGGACCGTGGGAGCTCCATCCAATCGGTAACGATGTCGAAGGCACCAGATTTGGTACGGTTAGAGCCGATACGGATGCAGTCACGATTAAACTCCACGTTGAAGGAAGCTTTGATGATCAACCAACAATTGAGGTGTTTTCAGGAGTCGCAGACGGCGAGGCATGCGCCACAGGTACCATGATTACTACGGAAGGCATTGACACTCTGTTCAGTACTGTTTCCGAGAGTCCATTGAACGAATTGCGGGTTACAAGTGATGGGGCGATAGGTACGTTAAGCCAGTAGCGACAACGATATGTGGATGCCAAAAAAAGTAATCCTCATCATACTCTACCTTTTTTCTTCCATCTTACTGTTGTTCTTAGGTCTTGTCATCATCGGAATGTCCCTACACAATGATTCATTCTGGACAGCAATAAATGAGGACAACACGGATGTTGGTACTTTCAACGCATGTGTTCGGGTTACCAAGAAGCACGATGGCAATTATGTCTCCTTTGTTGATACATCAATTAAGGTAAACATCAATGCAGAAGGGAAGTTCCAGACGTTTGAGAATGCCATTACGGTTGTGGGCACCAGCATGAAATCATTGGAACAGAATCAAACAAAGGAAATCGTTATGGACTCCTATCTGTGTGGACCCTCTGATTCAGGAAACCCAGAACGCTCCTACAAGATTGGCCAGAGCTTCTCCATCTGCGTTGGTCCTACTGAGGCAGAGAAGAATAACTATGACTATGTTGCTGTGGTTGGGTTCGAAGATGTTACATGTGCCAAGACAATCAAGGTGGTGGAAGACGGAGATAAGACGGCACTGACAACCGTCACCACTAATCCTGAAGGTTACAAGAAGGCTGGTGAAGGCACTGTTGGAACGGGCTTTTCGTCTTTTGAAACTGTAGTGACTCCAGAGTATTATACTGGAGTTATTGCACCCAATGAAGCTTCGGTCACGTGCTCAGGCACGGTGGAGCTGAGCTTCACCGACCCAAACCCCCCAGCCCCAAAGTTTACGCAGGTGGGATGCCAAAACTACGTCCTTTATGATAGAATTAATTACGACATGGAAGCTGATGGGGCCGAATCTGATGTGCAAGCGTGCAATGATCACTGCCATACCCGTGGTTATCCGTACTTCATACTCATTTGCCCCTTCACAAATGAAAATGGGGAAAAAAAAATTGACTGCGCCTGCCACAGTTTCTTCTTACCCCACCTTGACTGTGATACGCGTGGTGTTGAAAAGACTGGCCAATGTGACCCGTCTCTAGTCAGCAGTGACTATAAGTTTGGAGTCGGCCCTCCCGTAACTATCGACGACACATACCAGGCGATACAATCCCCAGTCTACCAAGTGGTGCCAAACTCCCCAAGCACAAAGTATGAGAAGGCGGGATGCATTGATCATGGTTTTCCGTATAATCCTACTGATAAAGCTACATTTCCCCTGACAAATGCTGGGAGCGAATCTGATGCGACGAAATGCAATGATCATTGCGCGAATCTTAATAAACAATATTTTGTTTTGGATTGCCCTAATGGAAGTGATGATGAACGCATCTACACCTGTTCATGCGCAGATGCGACAACTTCATCTTTAACAGACGGTATATGCCCTGGTGAAAGCCCAACTGAGGGCTACTCCAAAAGCGGCAGCTTTGAGCCCAACTGTAAAGCAGATTATATCAGTAACAGTGAGTACGGTTTTGGTTTCCTCCGCATTCATCCCACTAAATACAATATCATGGCGAGTCCGGCCTACCAAGTGGTGGCGCCCGGAGAGCGCCGATTGACCGCCAGCTTCTCAACCAACAGTGGCGATCTCTTGCAGCGCCACCTCCAAGAAAGCGGCAACCAGGAGGACACCCGTGGCTCCTTTGGCACCGAGGTTCTTCTCTCGCGAGAGGACAACGCTGTCTTTGGCAATCTTGCGGCACCTGCAGCAGACACCGGCGCCGTGCCAAGCACCGCAATGGCAAGCGCTGCCGGCGCCCTTGTTGTTGCCGCTGCTGCTGCCCTGGCCTGAGACGGACGAGGACCATTTGTAAAAATCGGACAAGGACAAGCTTGAAGACACACCAGTACTTGTCCCCCAAAAAGATATTTCATGTTCAGGGGCCAAAAGATACATCGGCTGCCGCCGGCCCGCCCGTTGAGGCGTAAAACAAAACCAAAGAAAAAACAAAAAATGCTATCCAGYCGCCCCCTGTGGCGTTAAACAAAACAAAAGAAACAACGAAAAACCCTTGTTGCATGTTTACATGACGAACTAGGCGTGAGCGCCAGTTGAAACAGTACGTACCGTAATTATTAAGTTCTTAGTAGAAGTTTGTTATGAAGTGAAAATACAAGGTACAGAACGAAGTACGAACTTCGAACGCACTCGTGGTAGTTCTGTCTGCATATTCCCATTACCAACCAAAACACGTCCAAGAGCCAAAAGATACAGCTGTGCTGCACGGAGATAGACTGCATAGACCGTTATTATTCGTACCGTACTAAAATTGAATGGAAAATACAAGCATCCCGCAATGAAAATGAAGAGGAGTATGGTACAGTCTGTAGATACAGTTCGTACGTACAAAACAACACATCACATCATACCAAAATACTACTAATACGGTACGAAGGACGAACTTCGTTGTAGTCGTAGTTTTGTCATACAATATACAATACTGAGTCGTACTGTACGGCAGGACAGACACCTCTGACACGTTGCGTGGGTAGTGTGTCCTATCAGTTGTACTAGTCGTACCACAGGTGTCTCTAGTGAACCTAAATCACGAAATTAACTAGAATTGGCTTTTTTCGTCTACCGGTATGTGTAATGTGTAAAGTACGTTGTAGCGGCACATTCGTAGGAGTACCTTCAGTAAGTACGGTACCGTACTTGGTACGTACTCCTGCCAGTATCGCTTGCCGGCAGCTGCATCGAGACAAGGATTGATTGGACCAAAAATTACTCCTTTGGTCGCGTAGGGCTTATGTTCCAGGAACGGGACCGGGGGTGCGGAGGCCGAGGTTCAACACGAAACCCAAACCGGCACAAGGTTTTCGAAAACGTCGATTCGGTTTTGTGCCGTGTGCATTTCTTTCGTGCGTTTGCGACAAGTCGTTCCGTACGGTACGTAGGGTACCATATGGTACCGTGCGCAAGGCGACGGTGGAACGGTGCAGAGAGAGATTGCCGTGTGTGGGCTTTGTGGCTCGGGGGCGGGGGAAAGCCCTTTCCGGACGATGGATGGTACGTGCGCGCAGAAGGAGTTTCGTTCCGTGCTTTCGTTCGGCGTTCTCCCTCCAAAACGTTGTTCGCTCGTTCCCTGCTTCCCTCGGAAACACGGAATCGCAGGGACCGGTTTCGCTCGAAGCAAGCGATGCGCCGGAAACTGCCTTTTTCTAGTGCAGCGTTGCGATTGATCGGTGCACCGACCCAACAGAACAACCAATAGGTCATTGAACCGGCTCGTTTAAGACCGACAACGAGAAGCATTGACATTAGCAATTACAACCCCTCTCTGCCAATCCTCACGACCCGTGTCTGCCCCGAAGGGATTCCTCGACACCATGAGCAGCAGCGACACCGACACCGACGCCAAGAGCAGCGGCAGCGGCACCGCCTCGGTTGGATCGTTCGCTTTCGCTTTCGCTTTCGAGAAGCAGGCCCCCTCCGACGCCCCCCGGCTGTACCCCTCCAAAAGCGAGGTCCTCCGGGCCTGCGGGATTTCCCACGCCGATGGGCCCGGGCTCCGCCTGCCCTCGCTGGAAGGGAACCCGCCGGATCCCGGTCTCCTCCTCCGCAAGCGGTCCTTCGAGACGGTGGTCTCTGGCCGGACCACCAAGAGGTCTTTGCACGGGCAAGGACCTTTTGGGGACAATAGCGAAACCAGCGACGACGACCGCAGAGGCGACACCAGGGACCGCCCATGGGCAGTCCCGGACAGCGAAACCAGCGACGGGGACGTCCCGAGCGATTCCGCCGTCGACGACGGGGGCGGCTACGGCTACTCTCACGGCTCCGATGCGTCCCCTTGCCACGCAAGCAGCGGCAGCGACATTGACATCGACATCGACAGCGATGCCTACGAGGACTCCGGCGATGGTGCCGATCACAAAGCCTACGATCCCGGGTGCCTGATTGCAATCGGCGTGGTAAAAGACGACGACGAAGACGAAGACGGAAACGGCAACGGCAACGGAAACGAGCAACCAAGGGAAACAGAAACAGAATCAGAAAACGAAGAAGACGGACCGCTGTGGGAGGAATCCGCACGAAGGGCCATCGATCGAACGCCCGCCCCTCCGGCGATGGTCGCCGACGTGGCCGTGGCAAGGAGCATCGCCAAGCAAGAACACGACCTCAAGATGCGCATCAAGAAGGAACGAGACGCCGCAGCAGCAGAAGCGGTTTCGGCCTTTCTCCGGCGAAGGTCCTCGCTCTCGTCGGAGGCCAGCACGCAGGAGACGTCCAACACGAGCTCCCGCCGGCGCGGACGGGGGAGGAAGGGGGAGGAAGGGGCCGTGCGTACTTCGTGCGGTGCGGATCTGGCCACGGATCCCGGCCCCGCGTTCCAAGCGGCCTCCTTGGCCGACCGCGACCGGGAAGAAAAGATGCGGTCCGGGAGCTCCCGCACCGCGGCAGGGACCCCCCGTGCCAGGGCCACCTGGGCCTCGCAACAGCAGCAGCAACAGCAACAGCAACAACAGCAACAGCCCCGCCGCATCGGAAGCACGTCGCCCTCGGTCCAGACGGATCCCCCCCGGCAGCCCGTCCGGGGGCTCTCTTCCGCAAAGGCCGGGGCAAGGACGACCCGGGGAGGCGGCGTTCTCCGCTCGGGCCCGTTCTCGCGGGTGCCTTCCACGCCGTTGCCGTCGCCGTGGCAGAACGGCGGGGAGGAAAGAAGCGACCGCAAGAACATGAACAACAACACGAGCAACAACGAGAACAACAACAAGCACGAACACCACCACATGGACTCTCCGTCCTCGTGTGGCCAAGACAACGATTCCCCCCGGTCCGTGTACAGCGGAATCGATTTGGACGAAAAGACGAGGCAGAGAATTCTCTCCCGGTCGATCCTGGGCCGGGCCCGTCCCTTTCGCCCCGGTGGTCCGACCAAACGACTCTCTTCGCTTGGTGGAGGCAGCAACGGCAATAGCAACGGCAACGGCAATGGCAACCATTCGCAGGAAAGTCGATCCGAAGGATCCTCCGCCGGGCCTGGTGCTGGAACAGGAACAGGGGCTTCCGATGCGATCCTTGCAACTGCTACCGTCACTGCCACAGCAACTGCCACCGTTTCACGGAGGACCCCGCGGCCCAGCGACGACAAGCGCAGCTTGCGCGTCACCCCCAGGCCGAACAAGGCCTCCTCCCCGTCTCTGTCCGATGCCCCTGCCCAGAACAGCGGCACCAGCGCAGCCGGGATGCCACGCGGTCCAAGCCACCGACCGAGCCGGCCCTCGGACGAAAAGGCCGGCTTTCGGCGTCCCTCTGCGCAAAACGTGTCCGCACGGACTGCAGCCGCATTCGCTTCGGCGTCTGCCGCCAAGAGGAAGCACTCCGCGGCCGGAACGGCCGTGGGAGCCGCCACCGATCTGGTTCTGGCCATGGGAGATCCCGACCGGGATTCCGAAGAGGAGGAGGAGGAGGTCTGCTTCGAGCGAGAAGACAACGAGGAGGGCCGGTACGGCTGCGAGGAGGACGAGGAGGACGAAGACGAAGATGGCATCGAGATGGAAATCCTCCCGGGTGCCTTTGCGGTTGACGGCATCGGCGACGAACAGCAGGGGACGGGGCATTCCGGATACGATTCCGGATTTGAAGACGGGGACGACAACAGCCTCCTGGTGGAAACGATTCCGGATCCCAGCACGGGAGACCTAGACCTGGGCCTGGACGACAATGGCAACAGCACCAACAACGACGGGAACAACGCCGAATTGCTGGTGGCCGTGGCCGACACGGAAAGCGCGGAGGCCTCCGCAGCGACGATGACGGCCAGCACCCCACTCCAGGCCGAGCTCTACACGGTCGAGGCCACCGTGGACGCCCAGATCCTGGTCGAGGGGGACGAGGACCCGAACGTCAAGGCCAAGATCCGCAGGCTCTCCTTTCGCATGTCTTGCTTGCTCTTTGGGGTCCTCCTGCTGGCGGGAGTTTCCATGGGGGTGGTCCTCCCGAGGGTGGGGACCAGTGGCCTGCCCGACGCCACGAGCGGCGGCGGCGACGACGAGAAGGAACCCCTCGTCGAGGGCTGGACCCTCGTCGGGGACGTCCTGACCGTAGACGATGCCTACAAGGACGACATTCGCTTCGGAAACGCCGTGGCCATGGCCTCGGACGGGAACCGGATCGCGGTGGGCCTCCCCGGTTCCGACCACCCGGGGGACGCCTCCCTCAAGATCGCCGGGGGGGTCGAGGTCTTCGACCTGGTCAACGGCACCGAGTGGGAGAAGGCGCTGGAGGTCTTTGGGAGCGGGCCCGGTGCCGAGCTGGGCACCACCGTTGCCCTCTCGGCCGACGGGGGGAGGCTCGCCGCCGGGGCACCGTCGTACGACCTGGAGCGGGCTGGAGGATACGTGGTAGGTCCGGGGGAAGAGGCCGCGGCAGCTGCCGCAGCAATACTGGTTGTGTCGTTGTTTTTCCTCTCCGCTGCGCAAGACTCACCATCCTTTGCTCGTCCGATCGTTTTTTTTTGGTCTCGTCCAGTCGATCTACGAGGAATCCAACGCCAACGGGGAATGGGAAATGGTGGCCACCATTGCCAGAAACGGCAACGGCACCGAGGCCGGGGCATTTGGGGACGCGATCGGTTTTTCGGGGGACGGAACGATCGTTGCGATCGCCGACAAACACGCGGATCTCCAAGCCCTCGACGACGTGGGTGTCGTCGCCGTCTACCGAGAAACCAACGGAACCTGGGCAGGCATGGGAAACGACCTCTGGGGTTCCCAGGAGCGGGACCAGTTCGGCTGGGCCATAGCCCTCTCCGAGGACGGCACCAGGGTTGCCGCCTCCTCGCTGGGAAATTCCGAGCCGGGAAAGGTCAGGGTCTTTGACTTCAACGGAACCGCCTGGGAGCAGATCGGCACCGACGTTGCGGGAGAGTCGAGGCGCGAGCTCTTCGGAGTCGCCGTGGAGCTCTCCGGGGACGGGTCCATCCTGGCGGTCGGGGCCTCGAGCTATTCCAGGGGCGGGGAAGAAAACAGCGTGGGCATCGTGCGGACCTACCGATACGACCGAGACAACGGAGACTGGCTGCCCCACGGCCAGCCCCTGGAGGGGGACCGCGGGCTCGACGCCTTTGGCAGCTCGATCGCCCTCTCGCACGACGGATCGGTCCTGGCGGTGGGCGGGCCCGAGAACGGGGCCTTCTGCGACGCCTGCGGCCACGTACGGGTCTTCCGGGCGGCGTCCGGGGGAGGGAGCGCCGACGGAGCCGGCGCCACCTGGGAGGCGGCCGGAAGGACGGACCTGGGGAGGACCGGGATCGACGGCGGCCAGTTCGGCTACGGGGTTTCCCTGTCGGGGAACGGGGACCGCGTCGCGGGGGCGGCCCCCTTTACGACCTTTGACGGCCTGGTCAGCCGGGTGGGGCAGGTCCTCGTCTTTGACGCCGCGGACGGTGGTGCCGGCGGCGGCGGCGGCGAATGAAAACGAACCGTCCCCGACCCGCTCTTCTTCTGGCCACGACGCCTTTTGCATTCTTGGCGAAACACAACGAGTGCGTGCGTGCATACTACAAAATTCGTATTTGTTAATCTTCGTGGGATAGTACGGTATTGCATGCGGCACGAGGAAAACCCCAAATCCATTCTAACGAATTAGCTTAGCAGTAGTAGACATGATGCACAGTAGGGTACATACGGTACGTACCGCCAGGGGTCATAAATTTAGAGGGGTGCGCAACGAAATTTTTTGGGCGTCACAAAGCACGAGGAAAAAAAAACCTCATATTCCACCTTTGGTCCAGGTTTAGCTTTAGCTCATGTAGCTCATGTAGCTCATGTAGCTCTTGCTGTAGCAAAAGATATCTTTATCAACATCAATATATGTAGTATTACTAATACTGTGTGAAAAATAGAAGTAGTACTAGCAGAAAAGGTAATCATACTAGTACTTGTTGTAGTAAACTCAGTACTGCTTAACTACCACTACTACTTCTTTTTCTGAAACTATATCTATTTTTCACATCATAGTTGTACTACTATTACCCATAAAACTACTACTAGTGCTAGTACTACTACTGCTGTGGCAATAAGTATCCTAAGCAAAAATAGTGCCACTAGCAGTATCACTACTATTACCAGTATCATCACTAGTACCAGTATCACTAAACAAAGCATCACAAGTTATATCTCTAGCTGTATCTATGGTTCTAGCTCTATCTCTATTTCTATCTCTATTTCTACCTCTATCTTTAGCTCTATCTTTAGCTCTATCTTTACTAGCTCTATCTTTAGCTCTACCTTTGGCTCTACCTTTGGCTCTACATTAGCTCTACCTCATTTAGCTCTACCTCATTTAGCTCTAGTATAATTAGCAGTATCACTAACAATATCACAAGCAGTATTCACAAGCAGTGCCAATAGGAGTATCACTAGCAGTATAACCACCACCATCAGAATTTGCACTAGCATTACTATTGTAATCAATACTCCATCATACTAAGCATCAATGTTTGTATGAATGCTGCTGGATTTCATCACTCCATGCTTTTTGCTAGCATTTTTGTTGTGATTTCCAACCATGGTGTGCACAATCATTTGCGATACTTGTTTGTACAGATGCTTAATATCATCACTCTTTGCTTTCTGCTACTACTACTAGTATTTTTATTGTGATTTCTGACCATGGTTCAAACGATCACTATTTTATTTTCAATTTAGTCCCATGCCACCAGCATTTACTACGAGTTTCATAACAATTGCACACGGTCTTGCCCAGAGAGCAAAAAGTAATAATTTGAAGTTCTAAACTTCGATTTGAAGTTATGAACTTTTGAGGGGAATCGTGATTCATCCATTCAGTCATTTTAAAAAATTAGCTCAGTACTAGAACCTGGTTCATGATGTAGGAGCAAAAGTTCATAACTTCAAAGAATCAAAGTTTAGAACTTCAAAATTATTACTTTTTGCTCTCTGGGCGAGAGCACTTGCGCGCTGCGCAAGACGATGTGCAATTGTTACAAAACTCGTAGTAAGCTGGCATCTCATTCCTGTAACTATATTGTTTTACACTGTTTCTTATAGTTCAAAAACCTACTACTGGCTCAATGACCAAAAACATGCATACTATTGGAAAGTTTCTTGAAAATCCTCCGCCCCCTACTAGACCCTTCCTCTTCGAGAACCAGCCAATTATAGTCAAAACTAGTATTTTGGTCTTTTTTAAAAATATATTGACATCCATGATTTCATATCTATGTAATTGTACGAGTGGTACTGGTACTAATGCACAGGTGTTTGCCTGGGCATTTTAGAGCGACTTTGGCATTAATTTAGAGTACTACGTACTACTAGTAAGGGATAGTAATGGTGATATTCTGTGGGAATCAAGCAATATGATTACCTGTGAATGAGATCGTTTCCAACGAAGAAAAGGGCTATTCTGTTTTACGAGCTTTGATTGGAGAGCTCGAGATGTCTTCACTGCCGTGCAGCCGATAAATTCTGTCGTTCGAATTTTCGAAGTTCTTTGGAAGTTCTACGAGAGGTTCAAACGAGAGAGACCGCTTCAGTGAATGACAGGTACGAATACTAGTAAAAATCCTACGAAGTACCATGACAATTTTTTTACTTTCTCACAGAGCTCTCCTCAGCCATAATAAAAAAATAAGGAAACAAATAAAGCAAACGGACACAGCGTTTCGACAAAACGAATTGCTCGCAGCAACGAGACCGACTAGGACCAAACGAAACATCACGTCCCAGTCAGATCCGTCGACGACAGCCCCGGAACCGCCGACGGGCGAGGCTTTCTCGTGGTTTGGATCGCTCCGGCGAACGATTCGAAGGGCAGGAAAACCGACGATGCTTCGTCCGAGACAGCCGCCGCCAGGTACCGATGCGTCCGCCTCACCGACTTTGGTGATCTTTCGCCTGTTCGTGCTGGCTCTTTTCTGCACTCCCGGTTCTGGTTTCGTAACCCCAGACGGTCGCGAAGGCTTCTCCAACACCGAAACGGGCGCGTCGCTCCAGAGCCAGCGGGTGCTCCCCCTTTCGCTGCCGAGCCACACCGGCAGCGGGCGCACCTTGGGCAACACCTCCCTGGCCTGCCAGCTGCTCGGAATGAATTGCGCGACGCCCACGGACTTTACCTTTTCGCTGAAGGGATTTTGCAAGAGGGGCGGAGAAACCGACATACATTCCGATGGGTGGGGTGTCGCGTTTTACGAAGGAAAGGGGATACGACAATTTCACGATTCTTCCCCGGCTTGTTCCTCTCCGATGGCGAATTTCCTGGAGAGCAACCCCATTCGGACGTACAACATGATGTCCCACCTGCGCTATGCCACCGTTGGAGAAGTCGAGCTGTCGAACGTGCATCCCTTCTGCCGAGAAATGTGGGGGATTAATTTTGCCTTTGCTATGAACGGGGACATCCCCATGTTCAAGAAAGACCCCAAATCAAAGCTCAGAGCCCTGATGGACCCAGGGGACTTACCCAGCGAAGACCAGAGCTACTACAACGCCGTCGGCAACACAGACTCGGAAGCCGCCTTTTGTGCGATACTGAATGCTCTCCGGGTCAAGTTTCAGCAGTTGCCTTCCCTCCCGGTTCTGAAGGACGCCATTAACGAGCTGTGCGAAGAGATCATCACGGAGGATCCCAAGGCTACGATCATGAACTTTTTGTTGACGTGCGGGCCCGACACCCTGTGGGTGTACTCGTGGCCGGGTAGCCGGCCCGGGAGCAAGGTCTGGAACGGCCTTCACTACACGACGCGGGCCCACCCGTTTACGACCTCCCGGCTCCGCGACGTGGACTACGAGATCGATTTTGCGAGCACAAACAAGGCGGGAGACTGCGTCTCGGTCATCGCCACCAAGCCGCTCACCCACGACGAGCACTGGATCGAGATCGGGAGGGGCGAGCTGATCGTCTTCGACCAGGGCAGGCCGCACGTGACACCGGAGTCGCTCTTCGAGATCGAGCTGCTCGGGCACGGTCTTAAGTCCTCCGTCATCGAACGGCCCGTTCTAGAAGAAGACATGAGGGAATTTGATCTGGATCCGGAATCCTTCCAAGGGAGTTTCATATAAAAATTGCTGTAGTTGGGAGAGCACGTGTACAAAATAATAGATTTCGAATGCTAACAAAAATATTAACCTGGATCGTCTAGTCCTTACAGCTTCTTCCTCGCGCGGCCAACACTAATTCTTAGGTTTCGTGCAGGTGATGAGACCGAACTTGATGACACCGAGATTAAAGCCCCGCAACATCAAGAACATGGCATAGGCACCTCGGATCGTCGAAAATCCGGATTTCGCGAGTCCAACAATGCTCTTGAGATTCAGGCTGCTCTTGATGACGGCCTTCCAAAACGGAGCGATGATGTACGACCAGTCTTCGCGCTTAACATCGGTTGCGCCCTTGGCTTCCACTAAACACATGTCAAACAGCAACAGCATGGGTGAGAGTGTGGTAAAAGAGCATTCACTAGACGCCCAGAAAGGATTCGGACCGTGTCGGTGCCAATGCGAAACAACTTACAAAGATCTACGTAGTCCTGAACCGAGCACCACTTCGGGAGGTAGTACGCTCGATTGATCCGAGCCAGGATGCGCTCCTCCTTTTTCGTAAGGCTGGTTTCACCTTCTTCCAGGTCGCGGTGGCACCAGGTGACAATCAGGATGCGACCGCCCGGAACTACTACCCGAAAGAGTTCGTCGACGAACTTCTTCTTGTCCGGCATGTGTTCTCCGCTCTCCAAGCTCCAGGCCAGGTCGAAAGTGTTGTCTTCGAACGGCTGATCGAGGGCATCCGCCACCTGGAAGGACGCCTTGTCGGCAAGGCCCTGTTCGATCGCGAGCTCGTTTCCGCGGGCTGCCTGGTACGGGCTCAGCGTGATGCCCTGGGCTTTGCAATCGAATTTTCGGGCAATGTGGCGACTGCTTCCCCCGATGCCGCACCCGACGTCTACGACAGAGGTAGCCTCCGTTACGTCCGCCCACTTCAACACCTCGTCGATCAGATCGATCTGGGCCTGGACGTGATCGGTGCGGTCTTCTGGAATGTAATACCCGTGGTGCATGTGCTGTTGGAACACGAGAAAGAAGGAAGAGAGAACGATGGACGGAGCAAAGGTGAGCGGCAAGGAGAAACGAAAGCAATCCAGCAGGCACCCAGCTTTCGAGAATGAGCACACCAAACCAACAATCGCGTTGCACGCGTTCGTGTTCGCACCTCTCCCCACACGTCTTCCCAGAGCTTCGAGCTCCGGTCGTAGAATCCCGCGATGCCGATTTTCAGGTCCTTACGCGTTCGTTCCTTGCTGAGAATAGAGTCCCGGACGCGCCGAACGCCGGACCGCAATCCCATGTTCAAACCGGTGGTGCTCCCGGCCGGGGACACCCGACCGGGGCCGAAGATACCCTGCCGGTGCGGAGACACCCATCCCATGGCGTGCTCCGTCGCGCAGGCGAGGAGGAGGATGTAGCAACAACGAGATAGCGATCCGGGCATCGTGAAGAAAGGTTTTTGATTCTTTCGGTTCCCTTCGATGGATAGAGATGGGTTTGTTACGGGGCAAAGATATCCGTTGCAAGTAGGAATAGGGAGACAATGAGGAGATGCCTAGTTCATACGGTATGTAGTTTAGCTTGTTGATCCTCTCAAAAAATCTCGGCATGAAAAAGTTCGATGTCTCTGCGGTCGAGAGAGACTGATGTGTGATGGATGACTAGCGCAGTTCTCTAGAGCAACCGGGAATTTTTGAAAGAGGTGTATTTTTTGTCTTCTGACTTCATGATCATACAGTAACACGTATCATCCAGTACAAAAATAGAGTACGAGGTAGTAACAGTACGGAACTACATCATGATACATGCGAAGTACGAGTGCTCGAAAGATTTCTTCGCTCGCTACATCTCACAACACGTATCTCTAGAATTAGTTTATAGCTATTACTTCATCTACTCGCCATCACCTCCATGATGATTGCTTAGTCGATTTTAAACTTTAATTTCACAATCCATTACATTACGGAGCAGCAGCAGCTTGAGTTCTCATCCATCGGAAGTAAAGGTTTTCCTGTCTCTCTCTCGTATATCAAAAAATCAATCACTTCGGCCGCATAGGCATGCGGATTCGTCCAGTTCCAATCTGAATAGTATTTCCCATCTTTCTCATCGATTACGCATTCCAAATACTTTTCGTCTTCTCTGAAAGTGCCAATCTCGCTCTGAGACGCTGCGTTCACGTCCTTTGGGGGTACGTACGGTGGTGTTTTTTTATCGGACAGAATCGCCTCCCAGTTGCAAGTTTTGAACCATGGATGAGCCATGATTTGTTCGCAACCTTTGGATCCCAACCTTGCGTGTTCGTTCTTATCTAGCAAGCGCCGACAAAGATCAGCTGCGTCTGGCTCAAATAGTGTTTCTGGGAATTCTGGAATCATCTCCAAGGTCGCATAATCTATTGCCTTTTCCTATTGAACGGTGGGAATTCACAAATCAATCAGATAAGAAAGAGACAGATACACCTACATTTTAAAGTCATTGTGAATGAGGGTGTCAAACCCAAGTGTATTGCTTTGTCTTACCTTCGTTTCCTTACCGGCATCGAGCCCAAATTTCAAGGCAGTTTGTGACCGGAATGGGTTTGACCCGGTTATGAATTCAGCGACACAACACCCGAAGCTAAACCAATCAACCATTTGATTGTACGGCATTCGCCTTCCATCTTCGTCTCGCCGTAGCATTTCGGGAGCCCAGTATCCTCTCGTCCCAGCAGCTCCATGAAGTTTTGGTGTTATTTTTGTCGCCAGTCCGAGGTCTGTGATTTTCACTCTCCCATCGTCCGCCAATAAAAGATTCTCTGGCTTGAGATCTCGATATACATACCCCTTGTCGTGAAGGGCCTGCAAACCAAGCATAACTCTGGCGGCATAATATCTGCATTCTCTGGGTGGAAATGATCCTTTCTGCTGCAAGTGGTAACTCAGATCTCCACCAGTCATCAAGTCCAGAATGAGATATATGTCGTCCGTCGACTGAAAAGAGTATTTAAGATTCACAACAAACGGGCTCTCCACGGCAGCAAGTACTTTCCGCTCGTTTAGCGCTAATAACTCAGACTTCTTCACTTTAATCCTCTTCTTATTCATGACCTTCATCGCATACAACTTGCCAGAAGTCCCCTTTTTGCATGCTATTTTGTTCAATGAAGTCGAGAGAAGAAAGATACATTCGACACCAAAATTAGACAATAGCGGTCTTTGGCATATTTGCACCGAACAAATCCGGCATTCGACCCACATCCAAACACGGGAAAGAAAGATTGACGTTGCTTACCTGTTACAGACCCGAATCCACCCCTCCCGAGAACACGCATGGAAAAGAAGTCGTCCGGTTCGACCGGTCGGTCGTAGAACCATAGGAAGTTTTTCATTCTGACGAACTTTTCAGATTCTGTGAATTGTTGCCAATATTTCTTGCGCAAGCTCTCGATTACTAGCACATCCGCTTTTGCAAACAGATCATTAAGGTTTTTGGGGTCCACCTGCTTTAGACTTTCAGTGAGTTGTTTCATCGAGGAGTACTTTTCCCGAACTGATCTCCTATCTGGGAGGTTCCGAGTAGCTTCTCGTAATTCAGCGCTTTCGATGTTTATACTCCTCTCGGAGCCAGACGACTCGTTGTTATATTTATTCTCAGCTTCGGAAATCGCGGTAAATATCTCGTCCAGCACCGGACCAGTCAGCCCAATGGAATTTGGTACCGGCGGGGACTCTGAATCGTAGTCCACTACTTTGTTAGCAGAAATCAATTCTTTGACTTCGGTCTCCGTGAGTTTGGGAACTTGTCGGAACATATCGTGTGTAACGATCTCTCTTTTCTCTGGATAGATTCTTTCTCCGGTTACTTTGTCCACAGGAGAACTTTTCAGAAATTTTTGCGCTATCCTTTTTGCTCTTTCTATTCTCTGCCTCCCTCTCATCTTCCTCCAATKAATCACGTCTTCGATAAAGTTAATTCTAAGCCAATCGTTGCAGGTGTCTTTCAAAAATTCGGAGAACAAAAAGAAGCCGATTGCTCTCTGCAAACACCAGTCGATACCGAATACTTCCAAACCATTCGAAGCGTTGGCACCTTCTTCTATCTTCTTTGCTTCCCACCTCTCCAATTCCTCTGTTTCGGGAAAATGCCAAGAAAGCACGGGTCTGGGACCCTGCACCTGTGTCGCGATTGCATTTACGTATTGTGCATCTTCGATAGCGTCTTGAAGCTCCTCCATGATGCTGGTGCAACCGACTTTGTTGAGTATTGCGTCGAGCGAGGCTCCACTAACAAACCCTGCCTCAACTTAAGGGCGCTAGACCTATCGACCCTCCCTGGTCACGCTTGGTTTGCTTGTTGCTCTGGCTTGATTCAGGATATTTTAGAGCATGAAGTCGACGCAACGATCCAGATGGACTCAACGGCGTTATTACAACATCTCTCTTTTCGTACCGTACTCGTAGAACGAGTACTAGTACTCTGTACTGGCGCTCCTACCTTTTGGAGCCGTAGTTTACCTCCGGCGGTCGGTTTAGGCGACTCGCAATCATCAGTTGAAGAGATGGAATTATTTGACTGCCACCCCGGTACTGCCAGGTGCATAGCTGAATGTAAGTACGAGTTTTCAGCAGCCATGGGGAAGCACAAAGAAATATGCCCTAAAAAGAGATACTTAGGGAGGTGAACTGCCGACGCGGAAGCAGGTGAAGTTCGATCATCCCTAACGGAAGCTGATTATCGAAACAACAACATCAACTCTAACACAATACATTAATTGGTTCTTTAAGAAGGTTTATTTCGGGGGGATTTTATTTTAGGGGTATTTCAAAAACTTTTTCGTTGATTCACCTTTCATCCAAAAATCCCGCGCTCGTACCTGATGCTCCTGTAGCAAGCTTACTCAGTAAATTGAATGCTTTGTACCTGCCTTTTCGTGACGTGTTTTTTGGGTGCTGCTATTTCGGTGCTTTTTGATGTTAATCATCGGCGATCTGAAGAACAGGTAAACAAAATCATTACTATATTGTGAGTTTCGTTAGTGTTGCCATCATCAACGTAAACGATCTAATTTTGTAGCTGCTACAAACGCAACCACTTAGTTTCGGCATAAACCATACCGGTGCAATTGATCATCCGTTTCCGAATAGATCCCGCTGTAGGACAGAGAACAGGTCTTTTAATATCTAACAAAGAAAATGGCGTCTTCTATGATTCGAGGAATACTTGTCTTCGGCTTTTCCGCCCTTGTCCTTCTCGCCCACGGGGGAGAGGCCTTTGTCACCAAGCAACCTGTGTCAACTTCGAGCAAGGTTGGTACTGATCTTCCAAAAGTGACGCACCTCCCAATATACGACATGCTTTCCAAGGGAAAAGAACAGCATTCGTCGTCTTCCCTGTTGATGGCGACGGAGGATAATTCCAAGGGCGGAGGCCTTCCATTCTGGCTAGATCCGGGCACACGGGGAGGTGCCGTCTTTTTGAGTCTGGTGTTGTTCATCATACCCCTTGTCGGGTATTCGGTTGCCACGAATATGTTCGGAGTCGACGAGGTGGACGCCGGGAAATACATCGGTGTTGGATTCACTGCAGTCGCAACCCTCCTCTGGGTATCGACCTACATTTTCCGTGTTGCCACGAAGGACATGACATATGTGAGTTACAAAACTAGTGTTAGTGACTACTGCATGTAGTCCTTCTATTTTTATGAATCGCAAGTAGACTGTTGAATTCGAAAGGAACGATGAACTAGACAGGTTTTGAAAAATTCTTTAGGGTCTGAAGCATGGCTGTGCAATGCAGTGCTTTGTTTTTGCGCCGTTGTCTAACAATTTCTTTGGGTTTGCTTATTCTCACACGTCACGATAAATACATTTCAGGCTAAACAACTCAAGGACTACGAGAACGCTGTAATTCAAAAACGTTTAGAAGAGCTAGATGAAGACGAAATCCAAGCGTTGCAGGAAGAAATCGAACGAGACGAATTTTAGAGAAAACGATTCATAACTAACGTACCAAGTAGTAATTTACTGTAATATTTTTACATGAATGTCACCCAAGTGTGTGGTGATTCAATTGCATGCTAGAGCAACACTTCAAGCTCGCCAAGATATTGAAATGTATCGACACATATGCGCCATCATCACCAGGTGAAGATCAGCGTCTGACAGAACACCAAAACATTTAGAACATTTTTTCTTACTAGCAGCATCGACGAGAACTTGTGCAAATATTATCAGCCAACAAATTCGAAAAGTAATGACAAATTGGAAAGCGAATAACGTACTACGAGAACCTCGTCCTTCTTTCTTAAAAGCACGTGTATGAAACAGATTACTACTGGATAGCATATGTCTTTCGTCAAAAGTGAAAGTGTCGTTAGTAACTCTATTAGTATTGATTTTGATTCTCAAGTGAAAGAACTAAGATGTTTCACGGAATATCCGTAATTACTTCCAGTAGCAAAATGAAAAAAAAACTACTGTACTAGCTACATTTGCACTTGGTGACTTTTCGTCCCCGTACCTTGGTCAAAAAGTCTCACGTACGTACGGCACGTAGCATCCTGCACGACAGTGCGAACTCAGCATTCTGAACACAAATTATTGAAATTACGAGAAATCTAAAATTCCCTCAACCCCCAGGTTTTCTACGCCTTTCTACATCGTTCGATTTCTTTTCGTAAGAATTATCACAGTATTTTGAAAGAGCCAACAAACAAACAACGACTGAGTTTTATTTCAAACTACGAAGCCGACAAAAACTGCTGGAAGGCAAAACTAAGAAATAATCTTACTGCACACAGTATCTCATCGATTAGCATCTAATCACTTTAAGTTCTCGCCCGAAGACATCAGATCTCGAACAGATACACCTCTATCGTTCAACTTAATTTTCCAACGAACACCCCGATAGAAACAAACAGAGCACTATGTCCCTCGAAACCGCAACAAGTCTCCTCTCGGAGCTCAAAGCCAAATTCGAAGCAGGCGATGTCGTGGGGGGGAAAGAAACCCTGACGAAACTGAAGATTCACATGCTTGACTTCCCACCAGGCTCCCCGAGTCACACCCAAATAATGGTAGAAAGCCTGGAAATTGGAATCCTAATGATGGTCGAGGACGGAGATCTGGACTCCTTTGCTCGCAACGTTGCCCAGATCAAACCCTTGTACGCCTCCCTAGGCGCCCCGGGCACCCCCCGCAAGAGCCACATCATAGGACTGAACCTTATGAACCTCCTCATCGACAACCGGCTCTCGGAATTCCACGCCGAACTCGAAATTCTGACCGAAGAAGAATCCAGAAACCCCTTTGTCACCTTCCCCATCAATCTGGAGCGGCAGCTGATGGTTGGTATCTACGACGAAGTCCTGAGCGTTACCGTTCCCGACTCAACATATCAATTCTTTGTCGACAACTTGTTGCAGACCGTCCGGGACAGCATCGCCGATTGTATGGAGGTTTCCTACAAGAACATGAAGCTTTCCGATGCCATGACCATGATGAAATTCGGAGCCGAGCAGGAACTCCTGGAATACATCGAAGAATGCAGGGACGACTGGATCGTGGAAGCGGACACACTTTGCTTCCAACCTCCTCCGTCGGGGTCAAAGGCCGGGGACATTCCTTCGATCAAAATGATCAACCAGAATCTGAGCTACGCGACAGAGATGGAACGAATCGTATAGAAGAAATGATTCGAAAGAAACTAGAAACACGCACCAACACAAACACACACGCAATCGCACCCATACGCACTCTAACAAACTGGAAAAGGGCTGACTTTTACTTTTTATCGTAACGTATTCTACCAATAACGAGTACCGGAATCACGATTTAGAATTTTCATGAACGTTTTGTCGTTGAAATAGAAGATGCCACTCTAGTAGTTACAAGGAATTTCCATCATTGCCTTTGCCCAGCTTATTGAGTCGGACATAACAGTGACGCGCAGTCTTTTCAAAATTGGTGCCGTAACGGTCTGACAACTCATTATTCACTATTCAAATAATACTCCACTGGATCGACTAGAAGCTACCGTGGCGTTGACAGTTTTCAAGTGTGCAAGGCCAAACATAATGGATTTTTCCCGAAGTTCATCAGTAGAGGACGCATGCATAGTAGTGAGGTGGGAAGAAATTTTTGGCTTTCGTCGTCGAACCTACGACTGTACCCGAGACCAATCCGCAGGCTCGGTCTCCGCAAAAGCTTGATTCGTTCGCGTGACCAAACAAAATAAGTTTGCGCCTCGTTAGTCGCCTTGCCGCTGCATAGTCTCGCTTGGTCGGCTTTATTCTATTCTATGCGGTTCTTATCGATTTGTATTGCAACGCGGTGCTTTGTATTTGTTACGTCGTTATAATGTCCGTTTGGATGCGAGTTCCGCGGTAAACACCAACGGATGGCTCGCACAAACCGTCACGATAGGTTTCATGACGTGGTTCGAAGTGCTCACGAGTCCCCCAAACTCCAGCGGCATGCTCCCGTCTAAATCCCATTTCAGTCCCGAGGTAATGATCGACTCGCAGGGACACCCAAGTGGTATCAGTCCGCAGGTCGGGCCCTCCCCCATTTCTGGTTGCTCACCATCTCCGAGAACGTGGGAGTCGTAAAAGGGCAGCAGGATCTGGCACTCTTTTTTGGCCGGGACCAAAAAGGCAAACGTCTCGTCGCTATACAGATAGATCTGCCCGTCGAACAAGGGTGCCCATTTGTAGAGCGCAGCGAAACTTGCCATTTCCTGGTCGAACCGACCTCCAAAGGCACCGTAAATGACAACACGGTTGATGGAAGAGGGCGAGCTGCTGTCGTTGCCATCAGCGTCTACCAACGCCTGCAGGGCCTTGTCGAGGTCGTTGGTGTCCTGGCAGAAATCTTGTTCCACGGATACGTCACGTCCTTCGTAATAGGCCCGAACATCGGGATCCAGGGAATCGAGGTCGCCGCGTATCCGATCAGGAATCAGGTCCTTCGAGTATTGGTAGAGTCGGTTTGCCCCGCCATCTGCTGCGATCCGGGTGCCACTCGTTTTCCACAGGTGCTCCAGCAGCACGCTCTTGTTGGGAATTTTATAGTTCAAAACAATAAGTGCCGTTCGCGTTGCTTCGGGTTGCTGCTGCCGATCATCACCCCTCGGGTCGGGAAGAAAACTCGAGGAGAAAGTTATCACGTCTTTCTTGGAATGGGAACCGTTCTCTCCGTCTTTTCCGATGAATTCGGTGCTCATTTTGCTCGGACTTGACGGTGTTGCCGTTTCAAGGCTGCTATTGATCGACAGATGATTGCGAGTAATGTTGGCTATTTTGCGGGCTGGCTGAAGCGAACTTGTGAGATGGACTGTGAATGCGATCAATGTGAAAGATTTCTTCAGAAGGATATGATTCATAATGTTTGTCGTTCACTATGACCTAGGCGGTTTATGCAAAAGAGTGTGAATATGGTAGGACTGGTACCTTACGTATTCGCTGTTCAACGACAAGACAAAATAATTCTTTCGGACGTTGCATGGATGATGGAAAAACAGGGATCAGCGACGATCCGCCATCAGTGTTTGTCGGAAGATTCAGGTTTCAGGTCACTAGTACAAAACTCCATATTCTTCATACCTACTAAACATATGATATTATTCATACTTTGTACGTACCTGTAGAGGCGTTCGTACCGGAAGTCTTACGTAGAGTATGTCTTATGCATTTCTCTCCATTCGAAAGTCAAAAACCACTTGACGTACCGTATGATGCGACGACTGAAGGACCATTCATTAATCACTTCTACCGGTTCGTACTTCTAGGCAAAAACCTCCTCTTTGACCGGAAGAAAACACATTACAAACCTAAGATTTCGTACTTTTAAGAATAGCTTTGTATTATTAACGCTCAAGAACAGTCAATAAAGAAAGAGGCGACAAGGGATACCCTCAGGAGTTAAAGATCGAAGAAAGAAAATGGCCGAAGGAAAGAAGAAAGCCTCTCTGAAGCGCCCGAAACGGGTTCGACTGCAAGACTTTACGTGCATAGAAGACCCACATCCATATGGTTGCCTTCCTGGAGGGAATCGTTTCTTCGGGACGCCCTCATCGTCATCACCAAAGAGCACGGATGTAAGCAAGCGAAAAGCGGAAGACGTGTTTGACGACAAGGTTTGGCAGCAGATCATTTCGTTCTGCGATGGTTGCTCCTTCGGAAGGCTCGTACAATCATCCAGGTATCTCTACGTTGTCGGTCACCAACCCGAATTGTGGAGAGACCAGGTGCTTCGAAAGTGCGACGCCGAAAAACTAGTGATATCTAGGGTTGGGCCGTCCTGGAAAGATACATATGTGCGCATGTTCCACGACAAGAATCACAGAAACAATAACAGCGACAACAATAGCAGCAAAAACGAAACCGAAACAGATGGTGCCTCTGCGTACCGACCACACCGACCAATGAGAATGCCAAACGTGTATTCCGACGACATCTATAGATCTCATTTGTGCAGGAGCTTCGCCATACCTCCGGCGTGGCTAAAAAGTCAAGATGCATCGACCGAAGGGACGCAGCAACACTGGCACAGAGAAGTCGACAACATAGCGGTGGACGATCTGAACGCCGAAACTTTTTTTGCGAACTACGAGGAAAAGAACCAGCCCGTTGTCGTGAGTGGAGCCGCCAATGGAAGTGCTGTGGAGAAATGGAAGGAATGGGACTATCTGACCAGCAAAAACACAAAGGACTCTTACCGGAGCACCAGCGGTGCCGCCCCGCTCCCTGGAAATTTCAGTCTGGAAGCCTACCGCGATTACACAGTATCGACGAGGTACCTGGAAGAATCACCTCTTTACCTCTTTGATCGAACCGCATTCGCTTCTAACAGGGAGTGGGGGGACGATTTCTTTCCGGACTTTTACGAAAAATGTCCTTACTGGGATCCATCCGGGGAATTCGGTCACGACATGCTGCAGTACCTCGGCGAGAAGGAGCGACCCGATCATACCTGGGTAATCATGGGGCCGAAGCGCTCCGGAAGTGTCTTTCACATAGATCCGAATGCAACCCACGCCTGGAATGCCTGCATCAGGGGCCGCAAGCGATGGATCTTCTATCCTCCAGGTCAACCACGTGAGTACCGTAAGACGACTGACATCGTGATGTAATAATTGTTGTAGGCAAAAGGAGCTGATTCCGATTGTACGGTGCGCTGGGTTTCACTCAATTAAATCACATTGCTTTTCGCATTTCCAATTCCCGTGCTTTGATGTGATCAACGACGGCAACAAAACATATCATATCAAAACAGCTCCCGGGGTCTTTCCCTCCGCGGATGGTGACGAGGTAGCACTTCCTCTTTCCGTGGGCGAATGGATCATCCAGTATTGGAAAGAACACACCGAGCAGTACCGCAAGCGACCCGTGGACCAGCGTCCCATGGAGTGCACCACCCACCCTGGAGACGTCGTCTTTGTCCCTCATGGGTGGTGGCACAGCGTCGTCAATCTTGACGACTCCAACATTGCCATTACCCACAACTACGTCAGCCCTAGCAACCTCGGAAACGCCCTCAAATTTTTTGTTGAGAAGCAAGACCAGATCAGTGGTTGTCGGGATCGGAAGGAGAGCATAAAGCCGGAGTACATACACGGAGAGCTCGTGAAAGCGCTAGCGATCAAAGAGCCCGACCACCTGAATCGAGCTATGAAGCAGACCGGCTGGACGTGCCGTGCCTGGGAAGAAACACCGAAGTCAGACGAGACAGTCATTACGGACGACGATGAACACAGCAGCAGCAGCAATAAAAACCGCAACAAACGCAAAATCGATAGCGTCCAGGGGGGAAACGAGCAAGGCACAAACAAAGCAGAAGAACTGCCAACTTCCGTCATGTCCAAGACGGAAAAAGTGCCAGCGTTTAGCTTTTCATTTCTTTAGAACACATGCCAATAGTTCACGAAAGCTTTGCACTCGCCACTGTGCACATTAATTCATTCGTAATCACCCCCTTCTCTATCCCAATGGTAGTTCTGATATCAAACTGTACCGTACATGCATGGCGGAATGTGTTCTTTTGCAAACATTTTCTATATTGCAGCAACGGTTGGGTCTGACCCGGCTGAAACCGGTGACATCAACCMATCGGCATGGTTGTAGTCTCTTTTTTCATCATCCCGTATCGAATGGAGTTCCAAACCTCTCTGACCTGACGCCATTCCATCCAAAGAAGAATCTTGAGCTGACCCACACACCCTCTGTCGCAATGACGATCGTCGTTGCCAGTGCTTGTGGAGCCAGTGAAAGAACGGACGCGCACCCATCCGCACCGCAACTAGTATTATCCCAGCTAGTATTCCCTTTCGTCTAGCCACCGGGTTTCGGATGAACAACAGAACCACGATCCAAACTAGTGCGATAATCGCGAACAAGAATATCCCCAAATCCGTGTTGTCGCAGCTGGTTAGCACACAAATCTTGAGCGACTGTTTCCAGTTCCGCTCGGTCTGGTCCAGGAGCATCTGTGCCCGCCGCTGCCTGGCTTTCTGCCGTGCCGATTGGACGGAAAACCACACGTATTTTGCCCCCGACGAGCACCAGTTGCTACTGCCTGAAGCAGCACCTTGGTCGCTTCCGTCGCCCTCGTCGATATCAACGCGGGCCAGGTAATCTCCGTTCTCTGTCGACGTAAAGTCCAGGTGGTACCGTTGCAGGTTTGCTTCCACTTCGTCGTCGTCGTCGTCGTCCAGATCGAAGGATATCGCCGCCATAGACGGAAAAAGCGACAGGGGAGTCACCGATCTGTCGTCACCAGGCATAGGCATATTCTCTAATAGTCCGTCATTGCTGGCGTACTCCGCATTTTGGGTCAGGGGAGATCGCTCCTCCTCGTCAATATCATCGCTGTCACCGCTGTCTCCAAAACGATGGCTGCCGCTGCTGTTCAGGTAATCCTGAGCATCACTACCGCGACTTTTGTAGGATTTTGAGCTTAGGGATCGATCGTTCGATTCGATTCGCGCCAGGGGATTTATGCTAGGATGCAACTTTTGGTCGTTGGCAGGAGAATGACTGCTTTCGACAGCAATGGTATCCTGGGAGTCGCCATGGTCTTCCGATTCAGTTCTCATAGAGACTCGGTTGTATCTGACCATATCGGATTTTCTCCGTCCCAATAACCTTTGTTTGGTTTTGTCCTACGAAATGCAACCGATGAGTTTTTGTCGACAAACAAACCAGTGCGATAGAATTGCAGCGGATGGCAGCTCGGGCACCATATGCAGGTGATGACTTCGTTCAAAACAAGGATGATGTTAAAATTCGATTAGATTTATCTTAAAACGCAAATGGGTGTAGCGTAGAGGTACTGGTATTGCTGCGCAGTGCACCAAAAAAACTGATGTACGAAGTATTCGATAGAGTACAAGTACGGTAGGGGCACCAGACGATAAAGTAATATGGTGTCCCCATCTTCAATCTTTTTCTAAGGGAAAGTGAAAAACGGGAGTTCCGTACGGTACAAAACAGAAATTTATAGATTTTCGTGATGGATTCTCTGATTGGTTCATTTTAGATAGTGGATCCTCTTACCACGGAAGTCGGTACGAGACGTAGTGCTGTATTCTGTACCGTATGGTACGAACCAGTATTGATTTTTTGATGAATGAAGTGACTGATGACAGCAACAAACGCAAATAAGTGTACCAGGCAAGTACTACCGGTACTCGTACCCGTATGGTTTCAATAATATTTGTTGTCAGTACGGTACAAGAGAACGGAATGTTCAGTATGGGACCTGAAATTTGGTTGTCGCATCGGCGTGTTAATTACACATAAGCCGATCCACAAAAGAGGTTTCTTTGGTTATGATTCGGACATGTAATGGACAAAGTTGTAGTAAAATTTATTGTCACTCTTTTACTACCATAGGAACCGACACCTCCTGCGCGCACCTTCTCCGAACGGATTTTTTGGCAGTGTGTCTTGCAGCCCCGATTTTGGCGTCGCCGGGCTCGCAGACGATATTATCGAATTCGAGTCGTTTTGTCTTCGACCGTTCCTTTAAGTAAATTTTCTTGACACGAATACTTAGACCACAAAAACGTTTACCACATTCTAGACGTTATTCCTAATACCCCTAATCAAGAAAATGATGTCGTAAACTAATTTGTGCTGTTTTTTCATTGCTTTAGATTTTTTTTGTAATGCTCGGGAGTAGTAATGTAATTACTTAGGTGCGGAACGGAAATATTTTTCTCTGCCGGTCACATAATTTCATGATGAAAACGCCTTCAGGACGTGTCTAGTCGGGACAACTGGACAATCAACGAATACATTCGAAACCCCAAAATTTTGTGTCACCGGATAGATTGCACAAGATAGTATGAGAACTCATTCAGGTACCTCAATTCGACGGCCCTCATATTTCATATTTGCTGCATATGAACGTTAAGAAATGGTCAAAGCATTGTAAGAGGAAATGCTTTCTATGATAACAACAACGTGTGCACCGCCCAAAAAGGTCGAGGTTGTTGACAAAAGCAAAAAGAATAAGGTAGAGATGGCGCCATCCGATCAGCTCATCATGTATATGAGCCCGAAAGAGGTAATGAACGACCCATTAGGTGCCCTTGCTTCCGCTGCTCTTGCCGCGGAAGCATCTGAAGCGTCCTGTTCCGACGCGTCGAAGGACGCCACAAAGAAAGAGCCGACGACAGTGAAAACGGATTCGAGGAAAGCAGCCGAAATGGAGGGAGAAAACGKGACTACCAAGACGTCCCAGACCACCGGCAAGAAAACCGAGGAAGAAACAGCGGATAGCGAAACCATAGCGAAGCAGACAATACCTCCAACAATCACAATTCGGAGAGAACTTTCTCTCACCGATTCGAACCGGCCTAGCAAGAGTGCCCATCCACAGCACATCTATCCCCAGGTACCTGTTGCTGGGTATTTTGGACCCTTGCCGGGGCATCCCCCTCATGCACCAGTTCCTCACGCACCGCCACATGCCGGATACTACCAAGCTGCATACGGTCCATGGGTTGGATATGGAGAGCATCCGAGTGCTCCTGTGCCTTACGGATCACCCGTACACTGGAAGCATCCCCACGCACCGCCACCCCCCCCTCCACATGCACATGCACATGCGCATCCGCACCCGCGTCCACACCCACACCCACACCATGTTGTATACCACGACGGTCACTACTATCCCCCACCCCATCCTCCTCCCGCCCCTCAATTTGGGTTTGCGCGTTCTATTACAGCGGACAGTCCAGCCCGGTCCATCACATCACCAGCACCTGATCACGAAGGCGAGGGCTCTCGTAAACGAAAGCCCAGCACCAAAGAGTATTCTCCCTCAAATTCACCTCCAAGCCTGGTAAGGACTTCTCCTCCTCTCCCTGAGATCTCTCTGCGCAAACAAACAGCTCATGTCGACAGTATTCGTTCCAAAGAAGTCAAAAGCTGTAGCGACAACCGTGCGGTTTTCAAGCGAAGAGCTTCGATGGGCAAGTGGACCGAAGAGGAAGACGAATTGCTTCGAGAAGCCGTTGCCGACTATGGAGGAAAGAGCTGGAAGAAAATTGCCGGACGCCTAACTGGAAGAACAGATGTACAGTGCTTGCATAGATGGCAAAAAGTGCTCAAACCGGGATTGATCAAGGGACCCTGGACTCCCGAAGAAGACGGAAAAGTTATCGAGCTGGTGAAAGTGCATGGAAATAAGAAATGGAGTTTCATCGCCCGTCAGCTGAAAGGCCGACTAGGGAAGCAGTGCCGAGAGCGATGGTACAATCACTTAAATCCAGATATCAACAAAGGAGAGTGGACGAACGAAGAAGACAAAATATTAATCCAAGCTCACTCTGAGCTTGGAAATCGGTGGGCGGAAATTGCAAAGCGTTTATCGGGAAGAACTGACAACGCTATCAAAAACAGGTGGAATTCAACACTGAAGAGGATTATGAGTAAAGACGCCTCTCCCGAGTCAAAGAAAAAGCGCAAGGTATTGGTCGATGGACTCGCCGATAGCCAACCTGTCAAAAAGGATCGCGAGGGAACAGAATTCAGACCCAAAGCGAAGAAACAGAAATTGCAGACTCGACACGAGCTTGCAGCCCACACATTGAGTGACTTGTCGTCACCATCCAAATCAAGAGGCACTTCCGGGGTAGATTTGCCTCAAAATGGAAATAATGACAAAAAGAGCAAGTCGATTTCAACCAATGGGGTTATTTCCAGATCATCAGCTGCTGGTCTAGAAAGTGATGCAGGTTTGCTTCTGGGGATGAATAAGGGATCGCCTGTTTCATCGGTATCATCTTGAAACAGAGTACCATTAGCAAAACAGATCTGACATCGAATGAATCCTTTTGATTACATGTAGTCTAAGTAAATTTTGATAGACTTTTGTTTGAGATGTTAGAAAGTAGTTGATGTTTGAAACTTGTTTTCTAGTAGTAAATATTAGCCATTTGTATTGGCGCGCCCTGAGCCAACCATCACGTGAAGCCTTTTTCCTTCACCAACTAAGATCCATTCAAAACTGGGATGAACAGCGATCGATTGCGGTAGACCTTTCACGATTCCTGGAAGAGGAATGTTTCGTATTTTGTCTCCAATACCATGAACCATCAACGACCTTCGCTTGGAAACGACAGTGCTTGGTTGTGAATCCAATACAAACTTATCGTGGTGCGAGAGTTTTCTCGTAACGCCAGGAACCCCTACCCAGCAGGCCGAATGTTGATTGGACATATCAACGCCTATGGGATTATATGGTAGGCTCCAGCTTCTCTTGTCTGTCGTGATTGGAATTCCGTCAGAGTTCGTGTACATAACCTTGGGGCTTGCACTATGGACAAGGCAAGGCTCTGAAATCCGAACAGCTGATTCTAGTATCGTGGATAGTAGCCAGCCACTAAGTGTCACCCACAATACACGGCAGCGGCCCCAGTTCTTCTTCCCCACGGTGCAACTCTGGTTGCTGCTCTCTACTCTTAACTTCACGATTCCCATCCTATTCCGTAGACCCTTGTCTTCATGCGTGGCCTTCAGACGCTCGTGTGGAAGCCAGGACTGGAGGACTTTAGGTCGGTGTTCGTGGGAGAAAGAAAGCGTGACCTTGGTCCGTTTGGTCCAATCGATCAAAAGCAGGTGCCCACGATTGGTTCCAACGATGACCATATTCGATCCGATCAGTGCCATGGAGGTCACGGGTGACGGTGGCTGATAGCGCCAAACAAGAATTCCGGAGGCAAAAGCTCCGTTTGGTTGACGCTGTTTGAGACGCCGTAATTTTTCTAGATTGCGTTTCCATCGGAATAAGGTGTTCCCTACAGCAATCAACATGTTGTCTGCATCCAAGAAAAGTATATCTCCAATCGATCCGGTGACCCGCTGCAGCACAATGCTCTGATGAGTTGAATGGGGTAGAGGGCGCCGATTGTACCTCGAGGGATCTTTTGCTATCCACCGAGCAACTCGATCGACGTTGTAAATGATGGTTTGCCCCGACACGCTATCCAATACAGAAGAAAGTTGAAAGCCCCCCACGTACGAAGTTGTAAGCAATTATCGACTATTTGGAATCCAAAAGCAAACAAATCAATTGTAAACAGAAGGCCCTTCTTACCGAAATCCAACAGCCAACTCGTCCATTTCGAACGGGTTCCATACGAGACTCGACACGGGGTGTGGGAGTTGAAAGTTAACAATAGGGGGGATTTTGAACTCGGTATGGTCGTTTGTATTTCGGGCGCGGTCGCTCCGCCCCCGTATGTCGGCGGCTCTGAGCATGTCCCAGTCGTAAATGCGTATGGTTCGGTCGCTGGAAACGGCGAGTAGAACCCCCATTGCATCCCAAGCCATGTGATCGATGTTCCCCCCAATGCTACTTGCTGTGTTCCCCGTCAATGGTTGTTCCAGGGAGATCCAGGAGGGAATTTTCAATTTTGTGGGCCAGGACGACGAAAGAGGTAACGACGATCTTCGGTTTTGCTCCATCCTTGCCTTGCTAGAAGGAGAATAGTGGCGACGGAGCGGGCCTTGCACCAGACAACCACCGTGGGTGGTTCTTCTATTGAGGGTATGGACGATATTCTTCCGAAACGGTTCCTTGGAATCACCCCCCTCCGATGCAACAAAATCCATCGTTGATTGACTGAAAAGCGGAACGCCCACTTTCCATCGGCTACCATTCTTGTGTTTTTCGTCGCTAGAACAGTGATTCGTTGGCAATGTTTTTGATGACAGGGGAGCGCTATTTTTATTGATTTCAGATTTGAGAAGTGTTTCGAGCTTTATTTCCCTTTCCCCATCTGGATTATCTGAGTCCGCCGCACGCTTCGTCTGAGCAGGTTTTTTTGTATGATCATTCGCCGACGCAATGGCAGCTGTGATTGTCGCCTGGACCGTTGCCTTTCTACCTATTTTTGTATGTTTTGACATCTTCTTCGATGGAGCAAAGGATTCTTCTACTCTGGTTTTAATTTCTTTTTGCTTGCAATCGGTAGCAGGTGCATTGAATCGAGGATTTTTGTTCTCTGTGTTGTCACAATGAGCACTCGCCGACACAGCAGACGCAAGCCGTTTCTTCTCGTTTTTCTTTTGGCCCTTGAGCGCTTTTAGGCCACTTTTTGCTCCMGACGGTTTTCGATTCCTCTCTATACCATTGGAATCCTGGCTTGGCGTCGGTCGGGAAAGCAATAGGCTGGTCAGGGGAATATTGTCTTCGTCACTATCGCTGTCGACATCGATTGCGTTACCCGTGTCGTTCTTGACATGGTCTACTGAAGAGACCTCAGAGGGTCGACGAAACAGAGGATAGAGTTTTAATTGTTTGGATTTTGGCATTGTATTTCTCCAATACGGTTCCACAGGGGGAAATAGTTGCTATGAAGAGCAATGTTGTGTCTCGGGAATTCCCAAGTGACCTAAAGCGTTTGACAATATCACAACGAGAGGATACTTGTACATACCCTGCTAAAGGAAACGAATCACTTGTCGTTGTCAGTTTACCGCCTGAAAGTATAAAGAATGGATTGGCGCATTGCGTCGATGGCACCAATAGACCACATCGTCTTACGACCTATCTCACTAAGTTCATTCGCACAGTACGAGTACCGGTACGAGTTACGCACCATGAAAGGATGATAAAGCGCTGAAACAAGACTTGAGGTTCGTACTTTCAGTATGAGACACCAGTACAGGTACAAAACGATATGATTTACGTGAAAGGTGCAAGTACTCGTACAAAGTAAGTAGTACCGTACTGTACACAAAGTCTACGTACTATGATGGTAACCAGCGTCATTGTTCATTCTTCGATTTTTGACGCGCCAATTTGTTTTCTACCCATCTGGGTCCAAAATGTACGTGTGCTCTTTATTGCCATAACTATGTGCTTACAATAAAGAGTGAGCTTATTCACTTTCTACTCGTGATTTAGGCTCACACCACCCCGCACTTGCAGCATCTAGAGACTCATACGTGGAGTATGTACTAGTATGTAGGAGGTCTTGGAGAGGATCTAGATTGCAAGTGGAGCAGGATGTTCATGTATGTAGTACTAGGAAGTCTAGTAGTACTACCCAGTGTACTGAAGAGTGTTTGGGAGACGTTGTTGTTTGTATTTCTGCTTTATCCTCACTAATTGAGGGGGATTAGGTGGTTGACAAATGAATGGATGCATATTCAGGTTGAACTCGGCCCATGAACACATCTGTATGTTCAAGGAATTTGGTTCAACCTGTTGGTTTACTCAGTGAGTCACTATAATTTTCATCAGATCTTGTTTCCACAAAGTTAATGTGTTCATCGTCTGTCCATTGTAAAATGACAAAGTGTTTCATCTCAATGTGTCGTGTTCTTCTTGTTGGTTGATGTGCATTTGCCATTCTCACAGCTCCATGGTTATCCGCAAGAATAGGGGTAGGTTCTGTCTGAGCAAGGTGCTGTAGTTCCTCAAGGATCCATCGAAGATAGAGGGCTGCTTTGCCAGCATCTGCCATATTGGTGAATTCTGCTTCAGTTGAACTCTGTGCAATAGTGGGTTGCAGCCGTGTTCGATAGTAAACTGCTGCTCCTGCGAGCATCATAATAACTCCTCCCATTGCTGATCATAACCTGCAAAATGTAGGTGTGCTCTTTAGTGCCGTATAACTACGTGTTTACAATAAAGAGTGAGCTTATTCACTATCCACTTGTGATTTAGGCTCACACTGGGTCGCTAACGCAAAAAATTTCATATACACTCTCACTTCAATCCATCTTAGATGTCATACTAGTTTGTTGATTTTCAATAAGAGGATTGGCTCACTTTTCTTCTAGCACTTGATTTACATCAATATAACAACATAAGTTTGTGCTACTAGTAGACAACAATAACAACAGTCCAAGCCCCCATCAATCAAATTCAGTTTCTATAATGCAGTGGCCTCTGGTATCTGTGGTGTTGGAAGACAAAGACTGAAGCCTATTCTTTCAGATCTTCCTGAAGAGAAACCACCATGCCTAGATTTCATGCCCCCCATACTTAGTTTCATATTTTCTTTGCACTAGTATCTCTAAGCACAAGTTCTTTCAGTATTTTCTCTCAAGCAACCACAACTCTACAACCATCACCATGTCTCTATAGTAGTATCTACCAAGAAGAGATGTCACGTATAACTGTTCAGTCATTATACTCCCACCAGTACCCATCCATCTAAGCAACACCCTGCTTGAATTGCCATTGATAAGCTTGTCCATGACCCCTTCTCTAAGAAGAAAAATTACAGAGAGTAACTCCAACATTAAGACTGCTGCTTAATGCACTGGTTGTCATCACTATCATCATGACCAATCCCCAACACCAGGACCAAGTCTGTTTGTTGCAATTAACTTTTCTTTATTGATTTTCTGTGGAACAGCTTGTATTAATTGGCTTGACAGTCTTCTTGGAAAGAACCATGACATGGCTCTCATCCATCCAAACTGTGAACCAATCCCTTCTATGTATCCTGAGTCCAGCAACCTGCCTGAATAAGCTTGTCAGTATGCATAGAACATTGTCATGCAGCAAACAAAACTTCTCCATGGTTAGGTGCCGCCCCTGAGAGCAACTAGAAGCATGGTTCTCCCTAGTCAGGAGAAGTATTGATATCTGGTCCACATAGCGCCTCTTCTAGTTCATGAGGCTAAATATAAATGTAAGATCTTTTTAAAAAACGTCACTCCTCTTTGGTTGTCACCAGTATCGCAATCCATACTAGTGATGATTTATATTGTTTAGAAAATGATCCCCCCCCGATTGACCCCAACCCGATTTTGCAACGTGTGGTGTTAGTTGAACTACTATTATAGTACTTCTAGAGTGTTGTAGTTTGAACGACTGCTGCTGCCTTTTTTCGGGGCATACTAGATGGATCGCAATGCATTGCTTGTAGCTCATTTTTTCTGGTGAACCCCAAGGCACAATTCACTCTAAACCGAGGCAATGTTATCAGTGTGGCGTGAAAAATGCAAGAGTAGATTTACTGCCGGGTCGCTCTCCTCTTGATTGGTCCTCTCCTGAGAATCGTTGTCACTCGAGTTGTTTTCACGCTTAATGTTGTGATTTGGTTTAGTTTCTTGAAAAGATGGGAATGGGCTATTCAAGGCTGCCGGATTTCTCTCCTCTTGTTTGATCTTCTTCTGGGACTCGTCTCTCGAAGTGTTTTCTCGTTTAATATTTCGATTCGGTGTACTTTCTCGAAAACGTGGAGACCCATTAAAACATATGGCTGATTCCGTGGCGGAATCAAAACTGATGGTGCTTTGACCCAATGATTCGGGGTAGTTCAGCAAACCAGGCTGGAATTGATATTGGGTAGTTACTGTGGCGACCGAGGTCGAAGCGATTTTGACCCTCGTCTCAATGTCGGTAATGAGTGCATAGTTCGGATGCGATTTGGTCGCCTTGGATTTTGCAAGACACAAGGGGGTTCTTCCATCATTTGTTTTCTCAAATAGAGAGCCCGGGTTGACGTCAAGGAGCATTTTCAGCTTCTCTGGGGAGCAATGTCGGCTGCAAGCGACATGTGCCGGTAGAAATCCATTTTTATCACGCATGAAGCAAGCACCCCTACCGTATTGAATCATGAATTCGGTAACTTCCGCCGAAACATAGTCTAGCGGCAACGAAAGAAAATCGATAGTCAATGACCCATTAGTCAATCGATTGCAATGGACATACTATAACGACTTTCAAAACTTACCGGTGAATATAATATGCAACGGAGTTCGTTTACCAACGCCACCCTGTACAGTAAGAGAACCGGGATAGGCATTGATCAGATCTCGAATCAATATTTCCTTCATTGAAGAATTCATCTTCACGTTTCGCTGACAAATAACATGAAGAGGCAAAGAACCATATCCGTTCTTGATAGACGCGGCGTGAGGAGTCACTTGTAGGATCTCTCGGATGACAATTGCTCGCTTATTTATATCCCCCTTGCTTGTTATAGCTTGGTGAATAATAGTTGTCGAAATGTTGTTATCCATCGTCATGTTCGTAGTTTGAATCAGGATGTTGCTGCGAATGCTATCGAGCACTGAATTCCATTGGTTTCCTCGACACATTAGAAACACAGCTCTCATTTCTTCTCGACTAGGTGTACGGCTAAACCTAAGGTGTCCATTGGTGTGGGAGTGGTCCGTCCTAGTTTTGTCGGGAGAAACCTGGCGAAGAGTTGTGGGCACCATTAGTGCAGGAATGCCATTGTTTTTGGAGTCGATAAGATTGTTGGACATGATAGTCGCTTCTCTCGAAAATGAAGAAGAAGTTAGAATCAATAAAGAAAGTTGTACCGAATGCCTCACCAGCTGAGACATCGGCAAAGGTGCAAATACGAAAACTCAAACAAGTCATGCAATAGAAACCGTGAACGTTTCTTTCCACGATGAAAGAAACATATTCGTCTGTTGAGAATTCTTCCAATCGGCTTGAAATTATTGTTGTGAATTGATCTCATCAGCACGACTGGTGCGTTGCGAAGCATAATACTGTAAGAATTCTTCACGCGACTTGGAATTGGTGCGTTGCGGTATTCCAAAGAGACAGCGCCCAGGAAAACTGAAAAACTTCATCGTACGTGGGATCCACTAAAGAGGGGATGTGAAAGAAAATATACCCATACCTACAAATCTGAGTGCATTTTACCTGCAGTGGGATCCCTTTCAGCAGAGAAATTCAGTATGGTCGTTGTCAGTTTCAGCAAAGAGTCGGCCCACACACAATGCAAGACAAATTATTCATTCCAATGTGCACATTTAGGGGCCAATTAAACAAAAAAACAATTTCAGTTGTTATGGAACTCGGCGTGAAGAGAATTGATTACACAATTGCTTTAATACCGGGAACCTCCCGTAAATATAGTATCCTCGTCTGTGAAAAGCAGCATTGCATCAATCAATCGATAAACTACGGTATCGGTACTAGTACGGAAACTATTTACGATGCGATGTTATTAATTTAATGCAGTGAAAAAAACATAATTTTGTTCTCAAAGTTTTTTGAAATTTGAAATTTAGATTTGTGAATGAGAAAAGCGTGGGAAAACTACTGCTTCAGTTTCCACGAATCAGTCAGAAAAGGAATTGACCTCATATACACTATGTAGCAACCTTAGTACTTATTCCACACGACTTAATTCGCGACCATTCGAGCGCGCGATCCGGAAGTTTTGATGAACTTTAATGTGTATCTTGAATGGCCCTTCTGAATGTGTTTTGGAATGCATGCTTGCATGTCCTTCTTCGCTTAATCAATGAAAAATCCATCCATGATTAGCCCCTACTGGTCTGGTACAAGTAACGTACGAGTACAAACTGGATCGGAAGGCAGAACTGCTACCAGTCCTTTTGATGCAGTTTTGTTCCATGTAAAAGCAGATTGCTGAACAGCTTTCAGTCTTCACATTAAAGTTAGAACTCCTTATTGCTCAAACGTTTCTTAAGAATGTTACGCTTTCTTCGCGGAGGGAAGTCGAATCGAAAGACTCGTGATTTTGAGCGAGAAAAGAAAAGCCATGGCCATGGCCATGGTCTCGACCATGAAAAAGAAAACGCCGAATCCATGAGTATGGGAACTAGCATATACACAACACCGTCGAAAGCCACTCTCAAAGGCGCTCGTGCCTGTGGAAATATCGAATGGTTTTCGTCTCAAGGCAGTGAAGGCCAGGGGCCTGGCACTATATTTACAGCCGAACTTGCTTTGGCTAAATACAGATTGGGTGCCTGGGAATCCCCCGCGGATATAGAATCGACACCAGCATCTTCAAACACGACCTCTTCTTTTTCTTCGTCGCCATCGTTGAGATTATCTCAAGAGGAAAATGGTATAGCTACTGATGTACCGATAGATGACATTACGTCACTAGCTTCTTCGAACCTTTCCCTACAAGCGGTTGGCCCCGAAGGCCTCGTAACTGGCGATGCTGAAGAATCATCTATAGATGAGCATTCAACCGCCTCTTCAGATATTTCATGGTATTACGACTCAGAAACACACCATGAAAAACTTGTTTCAACGATGGACACACAGAATCATAGCGATAAGAGAACTGTTCCTCAAGAATATCATGGTGACATTTGCGAAAAAAGAGAAGACATGTTTAGTGATATATCCAACCGCAAGGACTTCGAAGAAGCTAGTGCTTGTAGCACTGTCTCGTCATTGACCATGTACAAGTATTTTGGTCAGGCTGGAGGTGAATTTATGGTGCCAGTTCCTTTGTCAGCATGTACATCATCTCTTTCGAGACATGATGGAATTCGTAGAAAGAGCGACGAAGTATCCGAAGTTCATTTTGCTCACCCAGGGTCCAATGGTGATAAAATGGATTCGAGTACTGACGATTCATGTTGTCTCAACGGTCATTCAATCGCTACGAGTTCAAATTCTGTTAAATCGGTAAGCTTTTCAGTACTAATTTCAACGCTGGAAGCTGAAAGCCTGGCTAAAAGACTGAAACCTTGTATCCCTACGTCTCCAAGAAAAATGATTGGTAAGATGATCAATACAAATACCCCAGGCATGACGTCTAATCCAGGTAACCTAGACGGATCAGACTCTCGGTCAAAAGTCGTGAAGACTCCAGTTCCACAAACAAAGAAGCAACTTTATTTGATACCAAAACAGGAGGGCGAAGCAAACTTTGGAACACCAAAAATGAGTAATGTATCAACTGATCTTTCAGATTACAGCCACATGATTCCCGATGCCTGGGAAAACAATCATGGCGCTACGTCAGTTGCAACTACTTGCTGCACTGAAAAGAAAGAATGTTCTGGAATTCGATCTAAATTTGAAGCACAAAGCTTGAAAGACAGGACGGAACCACTAGTACCTCGGAGAACGATCGGGAAAACATTCCGATCAGTAATCCAAGAAAGTGAGGGAGGAAAGAAGATGGAATATAGTGACTGCACCAAAAACGAATGTTTTAATGATCAAAACCAAAATTCAGACGCGAATTTTGAACGAGACATTCCAAGCTCTAGCAAGGAAGCAAATTCCTGTCAGTTGTCCTCATCGCTTAGCGAAGAAATATCGAAGACGAAAAGTGATCCTCAAGAGGAATCAGCAATAGAGAACAATGCCATTTATGAAATAGAAAACAATGCCAGTCATGAAATTTCCAATGCCGCCCAAATGATTCATTCAGAGGAATCCCTGGAAGCTTGTAGTGAGTTTCATGATACCAAAACTGAAATATCCGACGAAGATCGAAGAGTAGAAGAGAAATCAATCGACTCGAGTCGTCCAAAAAGGACTATGAACAACTATCCAACAGTACTTTCAAAAAGTGAGGAAGAGGATCAGAATGAGTTACATTTGGAAGGAGAAGAGAGGTTTACTTCAGATGTAAGTGTTTCAAGTCTGGAACATCAATTCATATCAGAAGCGGAAGATTCTTCAGAAGTCGTACAATCGTTGCTAACGGCGACTTTTGAAAACGAAGTCTATCTTGATGAGGCCAATATGGTGAACAAACAGACAACCCATCTAAGGTTTTACAATGGTCCAGTAGATCTGGACGACTCCGTTGACACTTCGTCATCAGTACCGGTCAACGATGAAGAAACAATTTTGTCTCAGGAACAAGTTGACCATCGAACCTTGTCTACTCTAGGGTTCTACAATGGTCCAGTAGATCTGGACGACTCCATAGACAGTTCGTCATCAGCGCCAGTCAATGACAAAGAAATAAATTTGTCTGAGAAACAAGTTGGCCATCGAACCTTATTGATAAGAAATGACAAAGGATATCATGGTGAAATAGACACGGGATCTCAAAAAAAATTGGATCATGTCTTTGGTTCTAGTGAGAAACAGTTTAATCCTTGTGAAGAAATTGGTTTTGTTTCAAAGCAATATAGAACTCTTTCTATCGAAAATAGTTCCCAAGGATCTCTGAATGAAGACGACTTGAAGTATAAGTTGAAACAGAGGGCGGAAAACGGTTCTTTTCCGAACTCAGCAGGCCCTTGTTACAATGATTGGAAAAGGGAACAAGAAGAGAAGAGTCTCAGACATCAGGTCGAAAAACAGGAACAAGTATTACAATTTTATTTATCTTCTGATGATACGACTAATAATTCGAAAGCAAAGGTGGATGCAATTGTTCAAAACAACTTGTCTACAATCCAAGAACTGCAGGTACCTCCAAAAACAAAGAAAATTTCGAGAATGTTGAGTCGAATACTACAAGTCAAAMGAAGAACCAGAAAGAAGTCAGCGGGGAAGAGAAAAGATACGGGCTTAGATAAGTTCGTTGCACCACCAGGCAACGACTTTGAGGGTAATGTCGACGATATTTCCGAGCCGACCCTACTTCCCTTGAACACCTTTGGTTATTTGATTGACTCGAGTGGGCGTGAAGCAGCGCGACAACAAACGCTATTGGTACACCTTGAGTCAGAGCGTCAAAAACAAATGCAATCCGCAATCGAGAAGGAGAGAGAGGAATTAGGCGAGCACATTAGAAACTCTGTCCTCAAGGAACGGAAATTAGAAAGGCAGCGCTTTCTTAGCCATCCCACGATTGATAGTATTACGTATCGCGTGGCTTCTCCGGGTGTTGGTTTTAGTACCAACAAACCAAGTTTAGCGAGTCATGTAATGAAAGCCAACCATGAATCGAAACTCGATAATCTTCTCAATTCCAGCAAACCATCTAAACGAGGATGCATGTACTCAACTACACCAATAAAATATTGGTTTCATGGGTCCACTAGAGCCACTACCTCCACAGCTAGGGAGACAGTGTCTCTTGAAAGTTGCTCTGTAAACTCATTTTTGCATAAGTCTCTTTCTTTTAACTCCGCTCAAACCCCATCGTCACCAAACTCCCCGAAGTCAATTACGCACCTACCTCCATGCGTTGTCTGCAAAATATCAGAAAGAACCCACATATGTATCTCTTGTATGCACTACTCTTTTTGTGCTGAATGTGCTAAGCAACTACAAAAACTCGAGACCCCAATCTGCCCCATTTGTCAAACGGAAGACGTCGTGTTGACTATGGTATACACGTGATGCTGCTGCCTTCTTTGATAGTCCTAACCGCCTTTTGTTTATGAATTAGGCTCACACTCTGAGATAGAAATTTATTTTAAAATGATTTATATCTTGTGTAGACCACCTTTTGAACAATAGGTAGAAACTATTTCAAGGAGATTTGAAGAACAAATGCCAATGATACAAAAATTATTTGGTGGGTTTTACTCCTCAAGCTTCTTTAAACTCCGACTAATATGCATATCAACATAAGATAGAATGATATATTGCGCCGAAGAATGATTGAAGAACTATTCTTGGTTGCCAACATCATTGCAAATTCTTAAAGAAACAACAACTTTCGTTCATTGTTTCGGAGTCTCCATTTCATCATCGATCTCTGTCTCGCATCGTTTCTTATGGAAATTGTGTATGCATGGGATCGGTCTCGGGCTACAGCATAGCAAAATGCATGCACTGAAATAGGCAAAAATAGCTGATGCACTGAAATATCCGGCTTTGCCTAACGTACAGTCATCGGAGTCAAAGCAAAGGTCTTGATCTACTAGAAAAATACCGAACGTCCCGCTTTGCAAAAGCGAAGCAGCCAAAAAAAGAGCACTTGCTAAGACAAAGCTTCCAAAGAATCTACAACAAAGAAGCTCAATCAAGGATATCAAAATGGCGATTGAAGCGAGGCCAGGTGCTAGTAATGCGCACAGCTGACTCGCAAGCAATGCCTCACTTGGAGAATCAATGGTTAAAAAAGTGTTGTAATACGAACATTCTTCGACTGTGGGATCATCCCTGATGTCGTTCGTTTCCAATTTATATCTGAAGATGCCTATCCAACCTTCAGTTTGATTGCCCAAAGCTGAATCTAACTCATCGAAGGCTTCGGATTCGAAAAATAAGAAGTCGCAAGTATATGATGCAAAAAAACTACAAACGATGCCAACCGAAGCCAACAAAATTATCAATATTCTGTTTGTAAAAAGCCGAGAGAATCATCAGAAAAAGGATAAATTGTAATGAGTAAAATGCAAGCGAGTCCAATTCAAAACTCAAAATGACATTCGACAAGAATATATTATCGCTCGATGATACGTTTGTTGAGATGGTTGAAACCTCTTTGTTCCAACAACGTTAGGTGGCACTGCTGGTGTAGATATGGGCAAATATTGCCAAACTCACTTTAGAATGTATCCGCATCGAACTTCGCAGTATTTCGTAGAATTAGCCATCGTCATGTGAACTTTGTTTGGTTAGCGGAGTTTGGAATAAGAATTGGTCTTCGGCAGGACAGGAAAGGTTATGGTCTCGCGCCATTAAGCTGATTATCGACAATCATCAAAGCACGACTGATTGCAAGAAAAACATCCGGAAGGGTGGTGTGCGTACGACATAACGGGTCACGTACGGTAACACATGGGTCATGCTTAAAAATAAACAATGGATGTTCCACGCCGTCTGTTCATCCTCCGTTTCCGACGCGTAATCTCAATAATCTCAATCAAAACATGCGTAAATTTCGTATTTGCCCAGCGAGAATTTGAAAGCAGTAGTTCCTGTCAATGCATATTCGTGAGACTATTCGAAGTTCCTTATACTCTGTGCAATGTTGAAACTAATTCAATAAGGTACAAGGATATGTAGCCCATTCAGTTTTTGCGATGTCAAACGTTTTCACTAAAGATTTCACCAGGAGAAATCTCAGTATGTATTGTATCTGCATGCGCAAAAGTTGGCTCTTCAAAAATTTCAGACTTCGATTCGCTGCTCGTCCTTGTTTGCGTCACGAAATTCAAGTCTTCGTTATGTTGATCTTTTGCTTGGAGAGGAATCCATGATAAAAGCAAGCTCGAGATGAAATATAAAACCGTTGATCCTATGCTGTAAAATGCGCCATCGCCAACGGAGCACTTTAGCTCCATATCGTCCGAACTGGGGTATTCAAAGAAAGGGAGAAAGGGGACATTATGAGGTTAGTACATGACTTTGTCAGAAGTCGGAAGAATTCAAAAGCACTCTGTACTTACTAACACGCGGGATCTGTAAGCAATATCAGTGTCCCTGCAGAAATTCCGCTCGCAACAAGGAAGATGGAACTCTGAATTCTTGAACTCGCAAAAATACTGCGAAGGCAATGATCAACTAAGGTGGCAAAGATACCAATGACCACCATTATCAAAGATAACGAAATGCTAAGTTGAGCTGTAGCAAGCGTTGGATATCCTATTTTTTCAGCAAACGTCAAATCATAGGGAACACACCCATCGGAACTCCTAGTATCTATTCCTCCGATTCCATCCATCGATGCATGTCCAAAAATTCCAAATGAACCTGTAATCCTTGTACCGGGTAGCCCCACGTTGGTTTGAATATCTTCACATTTTGAAGCAGAGATATTGAGATCATTAGAGTACATGCCATTCACACGTCAGGAACCATCAAAATCTAATGAAACGATAGCTCTGACTTACAATATATGAATTCGCAGCTGTTTGCTGCTAGAGCTGACAGACAGATCCCAGCTGCGACGAATAAAGGTACGAGAATCCTGAGAGAGAGAGAAAGACTTGAGTTGAGCCTAATATCGCAACGAAGTAGATTCAGATAATTGAAAAATCTCTCTGGGTTGAAATATAATTCATTATACAATTGCTTACTTCACCCCGTACGCCAAGAAGAGCTGCTTGAATCCTCCTTTGTTTGCCATTTTTGAGTTAACTTATATAAGGTCTATTATGAATTTTATTTTATGACTACAGTGGAAAGTGATACTGGATGAATCTATCATTGTGACCTTCTCGTATGTCTTCACTGGCTGGGATGATAATGATGCATCGGGATGTAACGTTTGATCGTTACTTTGTGGAGAGATCACGTACGGTGCTGAACCGTCTGTATTCGTAGTTTCAAACCAAAGAAGTGACACTATCCAACTTCAAGTTCGTACATATGCCCTTTTGGTTCTTCAATCATAATAACGTTATTTCTGGTACAATTCGTGTTTTCTTCACGACCTGCTAGTTCGATCTGAACGTTATTGATAGCATCGTGGTCACAATCTAATCGTACTTGTACGAGGTTTAATGGTAATCAATTCCTGGTTATGACGTGTCTTTCCATTCCTGGGTTTTTGAGAATCAAACGGAGTTAAACTACTAAAGTACTTGGGGTACGTACTATCAGTAGTGATTCTTCTCTGATCTGCTTCGGAAAGAGAGACCGAGTTTTTCCTCGCTTTTTTTTCTTTCTGCAGCACGTACCGTACGTGGTACGGTAACGTACGATACCGTATGAAAGTGTGAGGTTATTCTTTATGACCTTTGATTCACTAGCTGCTCGGGATTGAACCTCAGCGCGAAACGACTGTCGACTGATATTCGTGCATACGTACTTGTAGTTCCGTAGATACGTAGGTTGTGTACGTACTCCATCCTACTCGTACTAGTCCAGTACCAAAAGAAAATATAACTAAAAATGCAACCATGTAGGACACAGTACATTATCTATGTAGAAGTACAAGGTGCACCAAGCCAGTGCGCGGAGCGCTGATGTATCAGCGTGTTTGGAGAGAAGTACTCACACGATCACGCACAAGGCAAATTCTATGGAAAAAAACCAAGTCGGGAGAGTAATTCTCGACAATCACGTCGATAACGACAACACTGATACCAACACTCCTGTCAGCTAACAAGATGGTCCTCTTAGTGAGGATAGCAAAATACAGTACTACAGTTCACATATACACAGTACACTACTATTTTTATGATTTTTCGATATGAGGGGGGACAAGTAGTAAGGAAAGAAGACACGCAACAAAGAACAAAGCGTCGACGTCGACGAGGACAATGAACAAAGKGTCGACGCGTCGATTAAGAAGCAGCCGGTCCGCGAAGCATGTGGTGACCCCCAACAGCTTCATGGGGAGCCATGGCTCTAAGAATGAATGAAACGCGCTTGGAAGGGCCTCCATACACTGAATAGATTCTTCTAACAGCAACTTCAGAAGAGCAACCAGCCCTGATGAGTCTTTCCATGCATCTCCAGAACTTCAAACGCCTGCAGTACTTGCTCTTTACACGACCTCTCTCAGCAGCGGTGAACTCCTTTGCAGGCTTATTAAGACCAACGCCAACTTCCCATTCATTCCACAGGACATACAGGTCGTGAGGACACTTAGTCAGCTCAGCAGCGTTTCCACTCTCGCTAGTACCAGCACCAGCTTCCGACGCGCCGCTGTTTACAGCTCGGACGACCCGACGTCTTGCTACAGGGGCCATAGCAGCTCTTTGGGACAACTCGATGGCTCTATTCAGCTTCTGATTGAACTTGGCCTCAGCTGCAATCTGCCTATTTTTRATATCATTCACTTGATTAGCTGTGGCAAAGAGCTTCGAAAACATTGCATGATTCCATTGCAACTGAGTCCTACGAATCCCAGCAGCATTCGTCCCTCCAGCAGCTCCAGGAGCGGCTCCACCAGCACCATTCAGCAGATCATCTGGATCAGCAAGCTCATCAAAGTGAACTTGCCCACTGATTTCATTAACAATCAGCTCAACTTTCTTGATAGGATTCACATCAGCATCTAAGCGACGAGGACCATGGCTGTGATTGAGTTGAACCCAAGAAGCAACAACATCATTCTTCACATCCTCAGGAATCAAGCCAGAAGCTTGCATTGCCGGATCGCAACAAGCCCAAAGCAAGGCCTTTCCTAGAATCGCTGCGACTTGGTTACCAAACACATTGGCAATATTAGGAGCAACTGAAGCAGCAAGCCACTCATCAGTGACGCCCGTTCCTTGCAAAGGCTTGTAGTAACAGATGCCTCCAAAGCAGAGCTTAGCAGCAACATTAACATCAGGCCAAGCAAGCTGCGTGTCAGTGTATCTATCCTGTTGCCTACGAGACTTCCATCTTGCTCTATAATCAAC